CTAACTTAACTCACTTAGTATGCTGTTACAAACACAATCTAAAGGTTCTTTTCTATTTGTCCTCCTTTTTCTTCCTCCTTCATTCTTTATATATTAGGCATCAAATTCTGTACTTTTTGTCTCTCCCTTGATTGACGTTGGGGATAGTCAATTTAATTTTGCATTTGCCTCGCAGTCAGCTGCACCACCCTCCCTACCCTGGTTTTACTACCTCTGGTGACAGCTATCAACCCTAGGAACACTTCCGTCTATAGCAGTCCGTCCAAAATAGACTGCAGAGATGATTTGTGGAAGGTAAAGTCTCCCAGCTTTTGCTTATCTGGAAATTGTTTAATCCCTCCTTCAAATTTAAATGATAATCTTGCTGGACAAAGTAATCTCGACTCCGGGCCCTTCTGCTTCATGGCATTAAATACATCATGCCATTCCCTTCTGTCCTGTAATGTTTCTGCTGAGAAATCTGATGTTAGCCTGATGGGCTTTCCTTTGTATGTGATCTTATTTCTGCCTCTGGTTGCTTTTAACAGTCTGTCCTTATCCTTGATCTTTCCCATGTTAATTACTATGTGTCTTGGTATTGTCTTCCTTGGGAAGTGTTGTGTTGTGTTGGGAGATCTATGGATCTCTACGGCCTGAGAGAGTATCTCTTTCCCCAGATAGGGGAAGTTTTCCGCAACTACCTCCTCAAAGACACTTTCTGTCCCTTTCTCTCTTCATCTTCTGGTATCCCTATAATGCGAACATTGTTCCGCTTGGATTGGTCACACTGTTCTCTCAATAGTCTTTCATTCTTAGAGATCCTTTTTTCTCTCTGTGCCTCTGCTTCTTTGTATTCCTCTTCTCTAGTTTCTATTTCATTTATTATCTTCTCCACCATATCCAACCTGCTTTTAATACCCTCCATCGTGCTCTTCAATGATTGAATCTCTGACCTGAATTCATTGCTGAGTTCTTGGATGCCTTTCCATACCTCCATTAGAATGTTGATGATTTTTTTTAACTCCCTTTCAGGAAGAGTCATGAGGTCCATATCATTTAAATCTTTCTTGGGAATTGTATTAGTTTTACTCTAGACAAGGTTCCTTTGGTGTTTCATGTTTGTTTATGGTGCCCTCTAGTGTCCAGAAGCTCTATTCTGGAGCTGCTCAACCCCTGAAGCAATGTCAGGGGTCGCAGGTGAGTGGTACTGGTACCTGGGTGTAGGAAAGAGCTGTTCCCCACCTCCTGGCTGCTGTGCCTGTCTCCACTGCCTCAGCCAGTGGGCCAGTCACACAGGTATGTTTTTGTCCCAGAGCAGCTGGATATGGGGCCCTGCTTTCCACAAGCAGCCAGAATCCCAGTCTCCCCAGGAACTCTGCCTGTATTAACTTTCCAACCTGGTAGTCATGCTAGTCTCTTGAAAGCACCATGAAATGTAGGTTTGTGCTCCCAAAGCAGATCTCTGGAGCTAGGTATTCAGCAGTCGCAAGCCTTCCACTCCCCCTTCTCCGTTTTTCTTCCTCCTGCTGGTGAGCTTGGGTTGGGGAGGGACTCGGGTCCCATGGAGCCACAGCTCTGGTCCGTTACCCCATTTGGTGAGGTCTGCTCTTTTCTCCAGGTGTATGCAGTCTGACGCCGTCTTCTTTCCTGTTGCTCTCTCAGGATTAGTTGCGCCAATTAAATTTTCTAATTGTATCCAGTTTTAGGAGGAAGTCTCTGTCTCTCCTCTCACACCGCCATCTTTAATCCTGGCTTATATATTTTTTTAGTAAAAAAAAGTGTTCTAACATTTCTGTTGGTTTGGGAGTGGGGGGGTCCAATTTATCATATGTTGATCTTCAGAGTGAAAATTGTTTATCTTTTTTTTTTCAAGTTATAATAAAAATTATTTTTATTGCAATTATAAAAGCAACAATATAGTTATAAGAAAACTAGTATTTGACTTTTTTAACTTACAGAGCACTTTTACATGCGTTATTGCATTGATCTTGAAAATTCTGTGAATAGGTAGAACAGATGTGATTATTATAAAGGTATACAGTTGGAAGAGACAAGTGTACAGAAGTTAGGTGATTTTCCTTAAGCTTATATGAGCTGTGAACATGAGGTAGGGATTCAAATTCAAAACTTCTGTTCATTTTTATCTTACATTAACACCTGTTTTTATTTTTTTTAATGAGTATATGTATTTTAGAAGGGGTTACAGGACATATAATTAACACCCATACAAACAGTATCCAGCTGAAGAAAGGAAACATGGTTGAAACAGTTGATGAGCTCAACATGTTCTTTCATGATTTATTTATTCATTCATATTCATTCATCTCTTAATGGATATTTTGCTCTTACAGCAATGCTGTAACAAGAAATAGAAAGATCAGAATTTCAGAGTATGAATATTTCCAGTTTTGTTTGATGTGCTAAGTTGCTTTCTCATCAGGCATGCTTAAGATACTCTGTTGTTCTTTTTTGTCAGCAACATTGTATGTGTGTGTGTGTGTGAGAGAGAGAGAGAGATTGACCATCTCTTTTTGACCTATTCCACCTGTAGGTGTATATCTTAAGGAAGTAATCAGAGATAGGCATCAAGTGTATTCCAGCTTTATTTACTGAAAAAAGTAGAAATAATCTCAATGTCTAATACAGAGGTTTATTTAGTAATAAATTATGATTAGTAATTTATTATAATTTATTAAAATTCTGTAATATTTAATACATTTAGTGGATTATTGACCAAAGTGAATTACATAGTAACTTTAAAGTCTTATTAAAAAAAAATGACAGGTGAAAGTGAAGGATATATTATCAATGAGAGATTATTAAAAGTTATACATACTGAAATCCAGGTTTCAAAAGTATACATACTGAAATAATAATAATTATTACTAGCATTTGTTGAGTCCTTCATGTGTGGCAGGCGCTATTCTATGTGGCTAAGTCTCCATAACAAAAACCCTTTGAGGTAGTTAGCATTATTCTCCCCAATTTTTTTTATTTTAATAGTCTCTGTTAAATGGGGATGGTTTATGTTAACAAATATATGTGGATGATTTTTAAGTTCTGTGTAATTTTCCTAATTTTGATATTTTACACATTTTTCCACTTAATAAGTATTCTTTTTTCATAATAGTTCATGCTATTTTAAAAGATAGAGCTGTTGTTATAACAATGTTTTTTCTTATATATCTTATTCTTTATAAATATATACACCATTTTTTATTGTCTTTCTTACAGAATGTTCCATGCATTGCGGACAAAAAGATGGACTTGGTCTTTATTTTTAATCTGTCAATGATCTGATCCGACTATAAATATTCACTGATGAAGATATATGGACTTGTCATTAGGTTGAACTAATGGTCATTTCTGAAAGTTTCTTCAACCACAATTTCTATTTGAAAATTCAAGTATCAAAGAATATTGGGTTTAGAGTGGTGTAATGATGTATTTTCTCTGAGGACTACACATTTTGTAGAGACCACAGTTGGATTCCAGTTATATTCTCCAAAGTGTTTCAATCCTTTGATAAAGTTAATTCTGAAGAGTTTTATGTTTATGAACAACACCAAAAGATGGGAGAAAAAAATGGTAGGTTGAAACACCATTGTTAAGCATTATGTTTAAAAAAAGTGTATAGAATATTTAATGAAGCTGAATTGTGGAATTTTCAAGGTTTTTTATTGCAATTGACTTTTCTGAATTAGAAGGAATTAAGGGTTTATTTTCACATAGCTGATCATTTTGACAGTCTTTAAAATTAACTATGTATGTATAATGCTAACTCAGTATTTTAGTGTACCTTAAAAAAAATTTTTTTTTTAGAAAACCTACAGATTTACAGAAAAATTGAGAAGATAGCACAGAGTTCCATATCTCCTGCTCCCAGTGTTAGTTATGATTAACATCTTATATTTGTCTTGGTATGTTTGTTACAATTAATGAACCATTATTGACATGTTATTATTAACTAAAGTCTATAGTTTATTCATATTTCCTTAGTTTCTACCTGTTGTCTTTCTGTTCCAGGATCCCATCTAGTATACCATATTGCCTTTATTTGTCAGGTCTTCTTAGGGTCCTCTTGGATGTGATAGTTTCTAAGGCTTTCCTTGTTTGTGATTTTGTAGGATTTGTACCCAACTATTTTGTAGGATGCCTTTCTATTGGAATTATGGACTGATTTTTTTTCTCATGATCAGACTAGGATTATGGGTTTTGGGGATAAAGACCACAGAGGTAAAGTGCCATTTTTACCACAGCATATCAAAGATACATGTTATCAGCATAATTTCTCACTTGCTGATATTGAGCTTGATAACCTGATTGACACAGTGTTGCCTACTTTCTCCATTGTAAATTATTATTTTTTTTCTCCCTTTACCTTCTGTACTGTTTGATAGGAGATCACGGTGTACAGATAACACTTACAGAGTGTGGATTTATGCTCCCCCTCTTTGAGAATGGAGTATTTTCATTATTTAGAATTCTTCTGCAAGGGAGATTTCTCCTTTCACCCATTTGTGTACTTATTCAATCACATATTATATCTTTATGGACTCTTGAATACTTATTTTATACTTTGGGTTATAAACCAGTACTGTTTTATTTTGTTACTCAAGTTGTCCCAGGATTGGCCATGGAGCTCTTTCAGTTGGCTCTGTCCCTTGACATACCCTTATCAGTGCAGATGGTTTTGTTTTGTTTGTTTTTGTTTTTTAGCATGTCCTTATTTTCTGGTACTAGAAGATGCTCCAGGATCATCTTGTATATTTTCTGCACCAGTCCTAGAATCAGCCATTTCTTGAATGAGCATTGGTTCCTTTTATTGGAGAATAATACTAGAAACCAAGATCCAGGCAGTAGGTGTGCTTATTACTGCTGGTGGGCGGGGAGTCCTTGCTTATAGGCCCTCTCAGCTAACAGAGCAAGGAAAAATAGGTGTATAGTAACCTGTGTATATACATGTCTATAAATATTTCTTTATGTAGCCATTTATATATTAAGCTAAACATGAATTTATACTGATGTTTCCAACTCTAATCTATTACCATATGGATCATTCTAGCGTACTGTCTTTGCTTTCCTGTAAACTCTACTCTAACCATGAGAAACTGTGGCTCCCACCATTTGTTACCCATTTGCTTTAATTGCTCAGTTCTAATGTATATACATAGCAGTATCAGAAATATAAACTTATTCCCAGATGGAAAACTATGGTGCTTGTACACACAGTATTGCTTTTAGTATTAAAAATACCACTTATTTCCAGTTATTTAGGTCAGCACATTTTCCACCCAGCTCTTCAGTGAGGTGGTGTATACATTTTTAATACATTTAGATTTTCTTGTTACAGTCTGCATTACTTTCTGGGATCCTGAAACTCTTACATGATGTTTTTTAATTTGCATACATTATGTTCGCTCTATATGCTTTAAAGTTCTGTGGGTTCTGACAAATGCATAATTCATGTATCCACTATTACAGTATTGTACAGAATAGTTTCAAGGCCCCTTAACATACTTGCAAATATATGGATTGTTTTATAGATCATAGTCCTTATTTCACTGGACCATAATCTAAGCCAGTGGTTCTCAAACTTTTTTTGGTCTCAGGACTACTTTATACTCTTGAAAGTATTTAAAACCCCTCACAGCTTTTGTTTATGTGTATATCATATTTACTTTGATTATATAATACGTAATACATTACGTATTAAGAATTGAAAATGAGAAACTTAAAAAATGTTAATTGGCTCATTTTTAAAAAAATAATAAATCCAGCATGTTAACATAAATTAAATTTTGTGAGAAATAACTATTCTGTAAAACAAAAAAATTAGAAGATCATTGTTTTACATTTCTAGAAATCTTTTTAATATTTGGCTTAATAGAAGAGAGATTCTCATATTTACTTCTGCATTCGATCTCTGGTATGTTGCTTTGGTTGAAATGTATAAAGAAAATGAAGCTTCACACAGATAAGAAGTTAGAAAAAGGAAAAATATTTTAATAGCCTTTCAAATAATGGTGGATATTTTTTTTATACAACTACAAAACTCAAGTAATCATTCCTTCAAGGTTATGTGTGAAATCTGAACTCATATCAATGAATTTCTTTATACTCTATTAACATTGGTCTATCTTACACTTTGAATGGGTCTTTTACATGTATGATTTTATAACATGCATTGGCCGCTTGAATGTATTGGTTCAGCAGATTTTCCCAATGTTGACAGATTTCATCATACAATATTAAAAAATCACATTTGTTAATATTTTTACCAGTCTCATCAAAAAGTGGTTAATTAATTATTGAAAAACTGTCAAGCCTACCATGGCAGATGCAGGGTTTCCAAATTTCTAATTTTAACTTGGTAGCTTGAATTTTATCATTAGCAGCATATGCTGTCAGTTTTGTCCTTTGAGTGATAAGTTCACTTTGCTTTTTTTTTGAGGAAATGTGTCCCAAACTAAGAAACTGTAATTTTTGCTAGTGGTTCCTTTAAGTACAAATGGTTTTCCATGGGGTAAAAATAAATAGTTTAGCTTACAGCTCAAATAATCACACTAGTGCTTTTCCTTGAGGCAGCCATTGTACTGTGGTAATTATTTATGTTGTCTACCAAGGACACTCTTGAGTGAAATTGGTGGTAAAGAATACAGACCTAACTAGTAGTTGGTGCCACCTCCTTGGTTCATGCTAAGACACCAACACTTAACTCAGCAGTATTTTTGTACCAAGAGTTTGTGTCAATGTAAAAAAAAGCAAATATTTTCTTAGTATTACTATTAAAACAGTTTAACCTAGTATACTCTCTGAAGGTATTTGGGAACCCTCAAGGACTCATAGACCACACTTGGCTGATCACAGGCTCATAGATACCATAGAGATCCTCTATACCAATGCCCTGAAGCTCCTCAAGGGAGAGAGATAAATTTTTGTGTACCTAGGTCATCATCAGTGTTTTGGTAGGTGCTCCATAAATACTCATCTAGTAAGTGAATTCAGATCAATGTGATTGATGAGCATTACCTATTTACAAAGACTGTCTATCTCAAGAGAGATTGGGAAACATAGTGTAACTATATAATTGTCTTCCTCTTATAAAGCTGCTAGGCTTCTTGCTTCATGATTATGTTCTTGAAATAATTCATTATACCTAGCAAAGCAAGGAAGCAAGCTTGGACAACAGTAGAGTTATCAGATGGCATTCTTCATTTCTGGGTGCAAATACCAGCAATACCAATATACTGATTTGATTTTCAATTGAAGTACCTGCTTCTGTATTCTTTGTAGATGTCTTCTAGTAAAATATACTGAAATATTTACAGTTTTAGATTATAACATTGAGCATACATACAATGCACAAATTAATAAAGAAAAAGAGCAAAAAACTAAAGTTGTTTACATTGTGGTAACAGCCTGCAGTTGAAATGAGTCACCCAAATGTTTCTCCTTAAGATATTCATTTACGTCTTATTCAAAAAAGTTATTAATTGGATCCATAACCTCATTTATCAGATAGATTAGTTATCTCATTATTACTGTGGTTTAAAGTTTTCATAGCAAGAAGACAAAAATCAGCAAGAGGGAAGACAGGAACAAGAACCATTTAAATAGGACAATTAAATGTAACAGTATGAAATAATAAGGATGTCAGAAGGAATAATATATTAAAGACCCAGAACAAAATAAATATGAATTATTTAGTTACATTCATTTATTGTATAAGCAGATAGTTATAGTATTTTTTGATTGGTTAGATTTTCTTAAATTATATTGCTAGTATCCTAGCAATTATATATATATATATATATATATAGGAATTATTCTATTCCAAGACTAAGCATTTATACTGTTTTTTATTAATTCATTGTATGTATTTCCTATCAGAATAATTTAGATCATGTACTGACATTTCTAATGGTTTTCAGTCCTTGTCACTGAAAAACAAAAATTCAATGAAGTCCTATCTTTCAGTATCACTGATATTTTCTCAGGCCACATGAGAGTTGTATATGATTGCAGAAGGTTATGCTACCAAAAGCTATTTCTAAGTACCTTTCAAAACCCTTCCCATCTAGATATCCACCTCAAATAAAGATAAATCTCTAGTATGGTGTGTTGACTCATGTCCCTGAAAAGAAATAAGGTAACAATAAATAAGTGCTTCCAAAAGTAGTTCTGACTAAAAGCAATGATTCTGTCATCAGTTAGGGAAAAACTTGATGATTTTAAGGATTCTGGGAAAGTCTTTCTTCACAAAATACTTTCCCCTCTTCCCTGAGTTGTCTCTAAAATTCCAAATTAAAGATGAATTCCTTTAGCTTAAGATAATATTCCCTGTTAAATTATGCACAGTAACTTCTTGCTAATTGCCATGTGCTTTTCCACCCATTAATTCTGTGAGATAGTGCTATTATTCCCACTTTATAGACAGGGTCACACAACTAGTAAGTGGTAATGCTGAGATTCAAACCTAAATATATCTGAACTCCAAAGCCCAGATTCTTAATCACCACTCCTGTTCTTCCACTGACTCCTGGGTTTTCCTTCCTCCCGCTGTTCCTTCTTGGTCTCCATGATTCCATTTTCTTGTACTTGTCCCTCACATGTTGATCTATAAAAGACCCTCTTCTCATTCTGTGTTTTCTCTCTAATCACATCTACTCTGGCTTTTGTGTACTGTTTACTCCAAAATTTGTGTAATTGGACCAGATCTTACTTTGGAGCCCATATATCCAGTTTAATTACCCCACTTGAATTTCTACCTTTATTCTACCATAATTTTTCTACTGTTTTATTTTTATTTATCTACATTTATTCTGTATCTCAGTGAATACCACTATGATACATATGGTTCCCTGAGTCAGAAATTTAATTGACTCTTCCCTCTTCCCACTGCCACCTGAATGATCTGAGAAACAATCTAACCACACCATAAGATGCTTAAACCTCTGGAATGGCACCCATAGCCTTTATGTAAAAATGAAGTTGCTTAGCATAGCACACAAGGCTCTCCATAACCATAGCCCCTGCCTGCTTCTAAAGTATCATTTCTGATCCCTTTTGTCTCTTAACATTCAAATGTTGAAACCTTGTCTGAGCTGTGCTATGGGAAATTAAATGTAGGCTTAGTCTTGTGTAGTACACATTGGCCCAGAGTTTTAGCAGGAAAACAACACCCCTCCTGAGACTGCTATGGTGACAGCAGCCCTAATTAGCCAGAGATCCCATGTGGATAAGGTGACTTTGCCAGGGAGAGTTGAGGCTCTGAGGCCTAAGCATCCAGTGAATCTCACTCTGTTGCCAAATTGTAGGCTCTAGGTTTAATTTTTATTAAGGAAAATGTAGTTTTTTTAAATGTAGTGGGCTCTTTGCTCATTAATCCTCCTAATGGCTTCCCGTAACCTTTCTAAAATGCAATTATTATGTCCCTCTTTTGCTTAAGACCCTATTTCTTTTTAACATTTTTACACTTTTATATAAGTAGTATTTAACATTTTAGGTATTTTTGTTACTTTTAAATATAGTGTAAGTTTGAGATTCAGCTTTTACTGATGTAATTGCCTTACTTATAGTTCTGTTTTCACCTATGAAAGATTATTTTTCTCTAGGAAATTTTTTACTAAGGTGTTAGCTGGGCATCTGATGTGTTGGTTTACCTACATAACTATGAAAACATTAAATATTTTCCTTTATGAAATTATTACAAAGTTAATATAAAAGTCATTTTAAAACACCATTGGACATTTAATTATTTCAACAAGTGTGAGTTGTTTCATTCTGAAACCATCTACTTCCATACTAGGTGGAGGTTATATCCCTGAAACTTAGAAGATATGTGTGTACATGTCCATACATATGCCCACTACCACCCTAGAATGAGGTCATTCTTTGTTTTTCAATCAAGTCACTAAAATTTTTAACATTTTTTAAATAAGCAGAAATAAGTGAGATACTTAGATCATATTTTTTGTTGCTAGTTATTTAAAAAAAATAATGACCAAAATCTTTTTCCTTAAGGAGAGTGACAGACCACTTAAATCTTGATTTTGTTTAGAAACCGAGTGGATTTTCTATAACATATGCCTTGGGAAAATTATAGCCTATTTGTTTTGGGCTCTTAGGCTATTCCCCTTTTTTTATTAGGTAATGCAAAAACTTTCTGGATGGAGCTGGAAGATGCTGGAAAAGTGGACTTCATATTTGAACAAGTGCAAAATGTGCTGCAGTCCTTAAAACAAAAGATCAAAGATGGGTCTGCCACAAATAAAGGTATGAAAGAACAAAAATGTTCGACATATTTAATGCTAAATGTTATCCACTGGCAATACAGTATAATCAGTTTCCAGTATTATTGTTTGTTTTAAAAGTCAAATAATTTATTTTGTTTTCTAGGAACCTAACATCAGTTCTGTTCGCTTTTTGTGTGTGTGCTCTCTGCTTCTGTAGTATCTTGCTTTTCCCATACCATGGACATATTGTAAAAAGTGGGTGAAGGTGATTTGAACAATTCCTACTGAATTTATCTCTTTTTATCTCAGGCTACTTCTCCCCCATTTTATCTTTTTTATCCTTTTTAACTTCTATTTGAGGGGACGGGGTATTGCAAAAGTAGTATGTGCAACATTTAGTACATAGAGAAAAATTAACAAAAAAATAACATTACTCCATCATCCAGAGACTGGTTTTTTTTTTAATATGAAAGTACATATAACTGTATTTTGCCTGTTATAAACACAACTTTCCCTACTGATCTTCTGAAAGCAAAACTTGTTTTCTACATAGGCAGTCATTTCGGTCACCCAAGTTTTTATTTTTTTATTTCTTTGGTTCAACCCTGTTTGGTTATAGAACGTAAAACTTTTGTTTGGACATCTTTATTCCATCAGGAAATATGATTTTCAAGCAAATTTTTCCCCAAATTGTTTCTTTCCCCAGACTTTGCTGTACTTTTTGGATTTTCTACTTACATTATTATGTGTGCTTATCCAAAAAATTCGTACTATTTTTCATTTTAAAATTATTTTTTCTCATTCCATCATGAGTCAGATATATCTAGGTTTGAATCCAGTTCTACCAGTACTTAACTGGATGGTCTGGAATAAGTAATTTATTCTAAGCTTCAGTTTCTTTGTCTCTAATACAGATAATCATAAGAACCTCTCAGAGGAGTTATGAAGCTTAAATGAGACAAAGTTATATAAGTTGTTTGCATGGTACCTGGCACAATGAATAAAGTTAGTGCCCCTGATTGTTTCCATTTTTCCTTAACAGAATACATCCAGGCAATGATTCTAGTGAATGAAGCAACTATAAGTAACAATTCCACAATGATAAAAGGTATGTACATTTCTAATCACTTAATTATTTGTCAGGGTAACTAATGACAATTTCAAATATTCTCTGGTATTTTCTTGAAGCAGGCTTAATTGACTTAATTATATGAATTATATGTCAGGTTAACTAATGACAATTTAAAATAAAATGTAAGGTCTATATTGGTAAATTCCCCTATTAAATGATAAATCCTACCTGTCCAGAGATTAGGAGATGCACACTCTACTAAGCCTCTTAGGGAACAAATGAACAACAGTATTTCTTCAAAAAAAACTTCTCTTACAAGAAGGGCAAATAGAACTCTAAAATTCCAAAACACTATTAACATGCTTTATGTGAAGGACAATACTAGAAAGGTATATTCTGGTATAGTTAAAGTTTTAGATTATTTTAATTTCTAGATAATTATTAGATTATCAGTCTTCCAAACTCTAAACAAATCCATTTTACAAGGAATTGGGCAAAGATAATGTACCCGGACTAGAAAAGGACAATTTGAAAGGTTATTTTATTAGAATCACTATCCTATAACTCTTAGTGTGTGACTAATATGCTAAACTGTTGAAGAAGTGCATTTACTAGATTTTAATAAATACTACAAAATATTGTCAACAAATTTCAATGATGTTAGCTGTCATAAATAGAGTAAGGTTTTAAACCTCTAAGAATATAGCCTAGCATCATCAGTCTATTTTAAAAGGAACCTTTTGTTATTCAAAAGTGTTCTCAATTTCAGTAGCTGATGTATAATTTCAGAAGAGTAGATTATTTAAAAAAACAGCGTTTCCCAGCATCTCTCAATACCACTTGGAATCAACACACCTTTAGAGATTACATTAGTTTTGCCAGAAAAAGGCTTTTAAATGAAGAAGGTGGTAAGAAGAACTAGTTCTAAGCAATGTTATTTTTTTTCTGAAATGATCTATTTCCCACTAACAGAAAGTATGTTGGGTTTTTGTTTGCATTCTTTTAAAGTAATAATTTCATCAATAGAAATGCTGAATATTGTAATTTCTCAGTTTTATACAGTTCATCTAAAATGTAATGAATTCATCGAAGTAAAAGTACTAGGAAGGGGAGGAGTCAAGATGGCAGTGTGAGTAGGGCAGCGGAAATCTCCCAAAACCATATATATTTTTGAAAATAGAACAACTACAACTATCCCTAAAAGAGAGACCAGAAGATACAGTACAACAGCCAGGCTACATCTACACCTGCAAGAACCCAGCACCTCACGAAGGGGGTAAGATATAAGCTGCGGCCCAGTGGGACACGAGCGCGCCCCCCACCCCAGCTCCCCAGTGGGAGGAGGGGAGTCGGAGCCCAGGACTGCTAAATACCCAGCCCCAGTCATCCGCACTGGGAGCGCAGACACACAGTGCGTGGTGTGCTGGATATTAGGGAAATGGAACAGTAAAACCTGCAAGCAGGTCCCCACAGCCAGGGCCCCTGGGACAAAAAAAAGCGAGTGCCTTTTGAAAGTTTTAAAGGGACAGGAGCCTCACAGCTGGACAGAAGCATCCTGGCACACTCAACCCAGCAGCTGGGAATCCTGGGGAATTCCTGACGCCCTAACCACCGGCACAGTAGTGCAGCTCTGAGGTCTCTCACAGTGATAAACAGCCTCCCGCCTGTTCCCCATCTGGTGCGGTCCCGCCATAGTGGAGCAGCAGCCTGAGACCAGCCACACTCACAGCAGCCGTGTGGAACCTCCGCAGCCACCTAGGCCAGAATCAGAGGCCCCATCAGGCGACGAGCAAGCGGGAAGGGACTTTGTTCTCCCGGTTGACACATGCGCCAACTGCCCACGACTACCTCTATCGCCATGAAAAGGCAGAAGAATTTGATACAGACCAGAATAACCCAGACATCCTCTGAGAGGGAACCTGGGGAGATAGATTTAACCAATCTTTCTGAAAAAGAATTCAAAATAAAGGTCATAACCATGCTAATGGAGATGCAGAGAAAAATGCAAGAGCTAACAGATAAAGTTGGGAGGGAGAATACAGAAATAAAACAATCTCTGGAAGCACTTAAAAGCAGAATGGACGAGATGCAAGAGGCCGTTAATGGAATAGAAATCAGAGAACAGAAACGCAGAGAAGCTGAGGCAGAGAGAGATAAAAGGATCTCCAGGAATGAAAGAATATTAAGAGAACTGTGTGACCAATCCAAATGGAACACTATCCACATTATAGGGGTAGCAGAAGAAGAAGAGAGAGTAAAAGGAATAGAAAGTGTCTTTGAAGAAATAATTGCTGAAAACTTCCCCAAACTGGGGGCAGAAATAGTTGCTCAGACCCCGGGAGCACACAGAACTCCCAACAGAAGGGACCCAAGGACAACACCAAGACACATAATAATTAAAATGGCAAAAATCAAGGACAAGGACATAGTATTAAAGGCAGCCAGAGAGAGAAAAAAGGTCACCTACAAAGGAAAACCCATCAGGCTATCATCAGACTTCTCAACAGAAGCCTTACAGGCCAGAAGAGAATGGCATGATATATTTAATGCAATGAAACAGAAGGGCCTTGAACCAAGAATACTGTATCCAGCACAATTATCATTTAAATATGAAGGAGGGATTAAATAATTCCCAGACATGCAAAAGTTGAGGGAATTTGTCTCCCACAAACCACCTCTACAGGGTATTCTAGAGGGACGCTCTAGATGGAAGCACTCCTAAGGCTAAATAGATGTCACCAGAGAAAATAAAATCACAGCAAAGAAAGCAGCCCAACCAAATACTAACTAAAGGCAAAAAATAAAATCAACTACCCAGAAAAGCAGTCAAAGGAAACACAAAAAAGCACAAAATAAAATGCCTAACATATAACGAATGGAGGAGGAGGAATAAGAAGGGAGAGAAATAAAGAATCATCACACTGTGTTTATAATAGCTCAATAACCGAGCTGAGTTAGACGTTCAGGCTGCAGTTACACTATAAATGAAGCTTCCAGCCCTTGTACAGCTTGCAGCAAAGATTCTCTGCATCTTAAGCCCGTCCTTCCCAGCTTGGATATGCTAATTGATGTCTCTGAGCACATGGGCACCCTCCACTCCTGCAGTCTGGCTACTCGGTAAATAGCGCAAAGGAAAACATGTTTAGAAGTATTTCCAGACTGAACTCTCTTCCCTAAAAATATAGGTTTTGGTGAAAATTTGATAAGAGATTAAAGAGGTCTCGGGAAAATCAGTCTTGGTTTAAACACATTGCTTTAATGAACAGATAATTACATGTATGTCCAAGTAATAACTAATATTAACTAACAGAAGTAAGGACAGAGGCCCATGGCCATGGTGGAGAACAGACAAAACACTATGTAGTCAGGTAGCGGTGGTAAGAGGACACATGAGGGTGATGAGGCGGCTCTCCCAGGGGAGGGTGCGGTGATGCTGCACCTGCCCAGCCAAAGGAAGTCAGCGGCCAGCTTCCCCACCAACCCCTGCCACAGGAGTGTGGCAGAGGCTGAGGTGAGCTCATGCACCTGGGCATAGGCACACGCTTCCCTGAAGTTTACTGTTACACTTCAGTTTCAGGTGGCTTCCAACTGTGTTCCAGGGACTCTCCTGTCCTGAGCCACATGGTCTGCTTTGAGATTCAGTTTAGAGCCTTTCTGTCCTTATTTCCTCTGTCAAGAGAATTGAGCTGTAGTAACTGAGAATAAAATTATATTTCTAGTGAAAAGAAAAAAAGTACTGTGTTTGCCAGTGGTAGAACAATGTTTGTAGTAAGTAATTGAGGAGTTATGTAATTGACACTACTGGCAATGAAAGGATTAAGAACTTTATAGTAATGAAGTTTCGTGTTACTATTTATTTTAAAAAGAATATTGAGGTTGGAAGAAACCAAAGGACTTGGTATTGAAGTCAAAATAACCCATCCCAGATCCAGCCTGGAGTCCCCACTCCAATAACTGTGTTTATTTTCTTTGCTTCTGTATAAGTGTAAATATTTGCCACAGTGTTGTACAAAGGACTGGATACTCTTTTCTTAAAAAGAGAGGAATTATCACCTCCCATCCAATGATTACTTTTAAATCTCTGTTTTTTCAGTAAATCTTATTTCTAACTATGCTTACATTGATTTGTTTTATTCACATTTGTTCATATGGGTTTATGACTCATACAAAGAAATTAGCTGGGAAAAATAAAATATTCTCAACTTGTAAAACTTAATTTTTAATCTGTTACAGCTTTATTCAATTATCAGATTTTAAACCTTTCTTCACTTGCTTAAACTTTTTATTAATCTCTTTTTTAAATAGGACTTGTCTGTACTAAAGAATCAATGCAAATTAATCTTACAATGAGAATACCTTTTTTCTTTGTGCATAAGAAAAAGCACATTAGAAAAAAAATCTTTAAACCAAACATTGAATATTTCACATACCCATTAAAAAAAATAAGAACAGAAAGTCTAACTTGCTTGATTAAACTACACAGCTCATTTCTATACTATAGTCAGAGAGTAAGAGTGGGTGAAGTAGAAAAAGAAGAGACAAGAAATGAGATGAAATTAAATGCACAAATAATATGAGAGACTAAAAGAAATATGAAAAGACAAATGGAAAAAGCAAAGTGTGAGGTACCAAAATATCCAACTCCACCCAAAAAAAGCAGTAGCAAAACAATGAAAAAATAAAAGCTACATAAACTTTCCATTTTGTAACCTATTATAGAGCTTTTAAGAGTTATGTTATTTTTCTATAAAATACAAACAAAAGTAGGGGTACTTGATGTTCACCTTAAAGATTGATTAGAATTCAGATAAAAGTTCAGGCTAAACAAATTTCTGCAGTAGAAATCTCTTCTAAGTCTCTTAGTGTTTTGAAAATACTGACACCTTATTTTTTAGCTCAATCTTAAAATCTTAACATGTTTGCAGATTTAAGGGCTCCATGTATTTACTAATCATTAAAGACATTTAGATATTACAGTTGAAAGATTTTTAACTTGGTATACTTGGTATTCATGTTAGTATTTTTTTAATGTAGATCATATATCTGTGACCCAGAATGAACAGGAAAATAAAGCAAGTTCATTGCCCTCTACATCATATGAAGATTCCTTTCCTGAAGGCTGTACATTTCTGTATGTATAAAAGTTAAATTTGTTTATGTTGTTAATGCTTTTGTTCCTGGAGATTTACTTTTTTTAAACATTGGACATAAGAGTAGATAGAATATATAAAATATTCCCATTGAAAGCTTTAAAAGTTGTAAATTTTATAAATAACTATATTTATTAGAAAATTAGAAGGTAATTGGAACATTTAGTTTAGATAATTATATTTTAAAACTGAATATAGGAGTTGGTATGTTCTTAAGTGTCCCTTTTTTGGTTTTAAATTCATTATCCTAGCTTGTCAGAATTCTTTTGAATTTTGAATATCTTATCTGTTGTATTTTCTTTCCTTTGTAGCTTTTCTTCTTGTTCAGATATATTAAAATGAGCTTTCTAGTCTTTAATATAGTCACAGAGAACAATATTGGATAGGACAGAACCAAAGACAAAACCTGGCAGGCTCATTAATGGGGAGACCTCTTTCCATTACTGTTCAAAAAGAATTTCAACCACTGAACTTACTTAACCTCTACCATTATCCCACCTACATTTCTGTATCTTAACTCACAGGGCTACTGTGAGAAATCAGGATTCATTGCTATAGCATTGTATATAATTACTAAACTTTATCAAACCTCATTAAAAAGGAAAACTACATCAGTTTGTACTTTTATTACCTAATTCATGTTGGCTTTCAGATCTTAAGTACTTGATTCTCTATTCTAGCAATTGTTTGGAGATCAATATTAAGCTAACCATTCTGTATTTTCTGGAATGTGCCCTTTTTAAAAAAAATTTGGGACACATTTTCCTATTTTTCATTGATAGGTGAATATTTTTTCAAGACCTTGAGATTTAATTGTTAAGGCCTAGACTCTTAAATATGTCTAAGTAAACTAGCTTTCTAGGGCCTCTTTTTAACTTAACAAACTTCAGTTTCTTTCATTTTTGTCTGGTTTTTGCACGTTTTGTCTGGCAATACTTGTACATGAAAAAAAAGTTGATTTGAGCTCCTCCTTCTCTCTGTTATCAGTTAACCTTATGCCCTCTTTCCCCTAACAGATTGTCTTCATTTTCTAAAGATAGCTTTAAAATGTTTCTTGCTATTTTATTAGCATTTTTGGAAACCTCAGTTCTTAGTAGGCTTGAGCCTTTTTGACATTTTTCTTGTAGGTTCACACAACTATGTTGTATTCATAATTGGTCTTTTTTTTTTGTACATATTCTTCTAAAAATCAGAGCTTCACAGAAAAATTAAATTGGTTTCTCTAATTACCATCTCATTAGGATTATTTGTGATTGCATAATCTGAATTTCATTTCCTTAGAACAATTCTTGTGCTGTATTCCCACTCAGAGGCTTTGTCCATGATCATTTCTAACTTTTTCTGGAATCTTTTCAGATGAAGGGATGTGTCTAATGAGGTTTAGGATTTTCTTCCTTTGCCATTAAGAATTCTAAAGCCACATTTCATTCTTGACCAGAATTGTGTTTAAATAATTCCTTTTGTATTTCCTCTGTGGATCTTGAGTTTATTACTTGTTTTGCTTTCAGTAGTTAAACCCTTAGCTGACCAGTAGTCACATAGGCAGACTGGCAAACTAAATGATGAATAACTCAAGCCACGAGTTCTCAACTTCTGCTGAATTGCTCACAGTCATATGTTCATGGCAAAATCAAAGTGAAAAATCTTAGGTCTGATAGGAAACTGGCATTCTGTATTTTATTCTTGAGTTGAATTGAATTTCCACTCCATATTAATGAGCTATGACATAGGTAAATGTAAAAACAAAAATTTCTTTCCAATCATAATCCTTTCACAAAGAGCCACTTTTGTGATGTTAGGAAATATGACTTAATTCTTTTTCTTAGTAAAGAAAGTACTTTGGTTTGTCAGGAACACACACCTAACTCAAGCCAGCTGGGTAGGAGAATTTATTAGAGATGCATCAGGTATGTAATTTTGGCTATTATGCATGGTTGAAAGTGGGCTTGTGCCACTGCTGAAAGATACAGGTGTATAAATCACTTGAGAGTGATTAGCCTGTATCAAAACAAAGAACAAAGCCATGAGAGCCTAAGAATTTATTATAGTGAATGTATTGAATGAAACAAAACAAACGAGGGTATATCTTAGACAAATAAAAGTGCTCAGGGTTCAGAGTATATTGTAATGCTTTATAAGAAAAGGTGGTAGCCATACTGCAGGAGGGTCATGGGGAAGGCAGTCTAGCATGGAGAAGATAAGTAGTGACTCTGCAGCATCTTACTACACTAATGGACAGTGATTGCAGTGGAGTATGTGGTAGGGACTTGATAATGGGGGGAATGTAGTAACCACCTTGTTTCTCATGTGAAACCTTCATAAGATTGTGTATCAATGATACTCAATAAAAAGAAAAGGTAGTAGCAGGGAACTTGCACTTAACAATAGGGGAAAAAGCAATTCCAAGCACAGGTTTTAAAAGAAACTAGGAAATATTGCATACCAAAATAAATAAATAAATGAATAAAAACAATTACTAAAGTGGAGTAGGCTAAAGAAGGTACATGTTAAATAGGAGGAACGTTATAAGCATGTATTTCTATGGAATGTTTACCCAACATTATTTTAAAAAAATAACCTTACCTCATTTTCCTTTTCATTTTTAATGGTTAAATGTAAAAAAAGTTTTAGTATCAGTCTTCAAGTATAAGTATCAAGACAAAAATAAAAACAACAAAATGAACAAAAATCAGGCTACCACCAGATTTAACCTCTGCAAAAGCTCAGGAAACAGCATCCATGTGCTCTTCTGGAAACTTTCTCAGACAGCCTCTTGCTAACCAAAAGATGAGTCAGAATGTAAAATTTAGGATTGGGGAAGAAAATAACGGGCATGGGAACCATCTATCTATTGAGTTAATTATAATAAATATGAGTCCTTAAATTAGGAGCTATGGACACCCTTCATGGTATGCAAAATTTTATGTTAGTAGTATATTTCTAGGGAGTAAGTTCATAGCTTTCATCAGATTGTCAGAAGAATTCATGGCCCTAAAAAGTTTAAATATCACTACTGCGGATACAGATTCTAAATAAAATTTTAGCAATTCTAATACAGAGAAATAATAAAAGATTGAGATGATCGTGTAGGATGTAGGATTTATAATAGTCAAGGAGGAATGACTTAATATTAGGAAACATTTTACAGAAGTAGAGAAAAGTGCACTTTTATGTTTATGTTTGAAAATTTTATTTACTTTTTAATATATATTCCTGTTGACCTAGTAATTCCTCTTAAGGGATTGTATCATAAGGTAATAATCAGGAATTTGGTCAAAGATTTGTGTGTGAATGTGTTCATCAAAGTCAAGAGAAATTGGGAAAAATTATTTCCAATATTAAAAATTTTATAAATCAGTTATAGTGCATCCTTTCATTTATACTGTCAGAAAACCTGAAGTATCAAGGACCATTGATTGATCAGGATCTATGAAAGCAAGCACTCACAAATTGCTGGAGGTGCTGATCCCATGGAGAGCAATTTGGAAGTCTTAACAAAATCCATTCACCATGTGATCAAGTATTCCCACTGCTAGGAATGTATCCTGTAGTGATGTTTACATGCATGACATTGTTATATGTAAGGTTATTCATTTCATCATTATTTATAGTAGCAAAATATTGGAAACAGTTAAGCACTTGTTAAATTGTGGAATTTAAGCAGACGATTACAGTTAGAAAAAGGAAGGAAATCTTATATTTGTGCATTCAGTGTATAGAACATTTCCATCAATGCAAAAAATCTGTTGGACAGTATTGCTTTATGTAGTGAGTAAAAAATACCTCTAAAATACTTTCATAATGAATAACAGAAACCTAGATATAGAAAATATGTAAAACAAAAGGTTCTTGGTGGAAGTTGAAAACCCAAGTTGTAAACACATGGATGTGTTGGTGTGATGCCAGGCAGATTACATGTTATGGAAAAAATTCAGTTGGCACAATTGTTGAAAGCAAACAGCATAAAGCATTCTTGATGAATTAATTATTTTCTGGCTAGTCTTTACAGTTTTTTTGTAGGCAGAAAGCCTGAACCAGCCATGCCTGAGGATATAACCTTCCTCAGCTCTTTATTGAGTGTATGTGCCAAATGACATCTAATTTTGCTAGGTAGTGCCACAAAAAGTTAGAGCTATAATCACAGCTTTCTGAATATTCTGAAATTAGGTTGTGGTATAATAAGAAAAATACCTGGTTTTTGTCTTGGTCCCTGGCACATAGCATCTAAAACCTTTGGAATCTCCTGAGTGGTTAGAATACCGTCGGCATGCTAATGAGATGACTCTTGTTGAAGGGCAATTAGTTAGCTTCAGGATGAGAGCTGATCACCAGAAGGACCAAACCTTGATTAGAAACTTGAAACTTTCAGTCCTACTGCCCAACCTCCAGAGAAGAGAGAAGGATTGGACATTGAATAATAGTGAGTGACTGGTGACTTAATCAATCATGCTTAGATAATGAAACCTCCATAAAAACCTCTAAATTACAGGGCTCTGGGAGCTTCCTAGTTGATGAATACTTTGAGGTGCTGGAAGGGTGGCAGGAATGGGGAGGCATGGAAGCTCTGTGTCCCTTCCCACTTACTTTGCCCTTTGCATCTCTTCCATTTGGCTGTTTTTGAGTCATTTCTTTTATTATAAACTGGTAATCATAATTTAAAGTATAACTAGTAATATTACTGTAATAGTAGTTAAAGTGAATCTTTCTAGCAAATTATCAAACCTGAGGAGGTAATTGTGGAAACCCCATGTCGGCCTGGGACTTTTGTTTGGCATGTGAAATAGGGGCAATCTTGTGGGACTAGCCCTTTAACTTGTGGGGTCTGACACTGACTCCAGGCTAATAGTGTCAGAACTGAATTGAATAATTGAACACCCAGTTGAAGAAGTGGCTGGAAAAACCACCACACATTTGGTATCTGGAGGAAAAAACTCCTTAAGGTATATAACCTTTATGTGGCTACAGTACATAATAAAATATTTTTTCAGAGTCTGGCTTATTTTAGTGGTATCAAAGAAGAACAGGAACTAATTACCACTTAGTGGGCAGTGTTTTATAAAAATGGGGAATTGTACTATAATTTGAGATACTAATAAATAATTAATTTTAAACAGATCTACAAAAAGTAAGGAAATCAACTCTCTGGAAAGTAAAGCTGCATACTTTAGAGAAGAATCATCATCTTTGAATTTAACTTACCAAAGTCATGATTGCTCTGGTGCCTGTCTGATGAAAATGCCACTAACCTTCAAGGGAGAAAACCCTTTGCAGCTACCAATCAAATGCCACTTCCAAAGACGACATGCGAAGACAAACTCTCATTCTTCAGCACTCCATGTGAGTTATAAAACCCCTTGTGGAAGGAGTCTACGAAACGTGGAGGAAGTTTTTCGTTACCTGCTTGAGACGGATTGTAACTTTTTATTTACGGATAATTTTTCTTTCAATACCTATGTTCAGTTGACTCGGAATTACCCAAAGCAAGAAGAAATTGTTTCTGATGTGGATATTAGCAATGGAGTGGAATTGGTGCCCATTTCTTTCAGTAATGAAATTGACAATAGAAAGCTTCCTCTGTTTAAGTACAGAAAGACTATGTGGCCACGAGCATATTATCTGAACAGCTTTTCCAACATGTTTACTGATTCATGTGACTGTTCTGAGGGCTGCATAGACATGTGAGTAGAAAAATACAGCATTTCAAAAAATCTTCTGAATGTAGAGGTACTTGTCAAGAAGTCCTGTTGTCTCTCTGTCTAAAACCTGTTTACCAAGAGTCTGAAATGGAAAGATGCAATCTCTCACTAGCAATAGAAAACTGTTTGCCAAATAATAATATAGTAATTTGAAAATGATTTCTTCAATGGATGAGTATTTATTTTAATCCAGTACCATATTCACAGTAGTAGCAATTACAGTTAATACCATGTAACAATGCCAGACATTTTACAAGTGCTTTACATTTTCTCTTAAGTCTCACAAAACCCTGTAAGATACGTAATATTTCTGTATTACAAATGAGGAAGATTAATAAAAGCCAATTGTAAGGTCATAGAGCAAGCAAATGGAAGAGTCAGGGTTTGAACCTATGCTCTTAACCACTGTGTTATGTATTTTACTTGTACAAATCATTTTCTTGCTGTTCTTTAGAAAGTTAATGGTCCTATAACTACTACTTGCATAACATTGATAGTCCATAAAATGAAAACATGTTCTAATATATTAAGACTTTGAAAACCATTTCATTTTAAGGGTATATAATACACATGCATTTGTAGATATGCATTTATAGAGTAATGTTGCATTATGCGTACATTTAATTTAATGCAAATTTAGCTACCTTTAATAGGGAAAAGGAAAGAACGAGAGAGAAATAATTTAAATGGTATAGTTTTCACCATCTTCTCGGAGTATGAGATGAGATATATAAAAATTTTCTGTTACCTCAGTTTGGCTCAGTTTCTTTTAGATTTGTCATACAGGAACCTCTCTGCCAAGTTTTATTCTGTTTAAAAGCAAGTTGTCTTTTTAAACATTGCCTCTAACTATAACCCAATGACATCTGGCCAACCCCAATCTCTTAAAGTGCTGGAGAAAAAGACTGTTAGACAGTGTTTACTTTATGGTCAGTTTATAGGATTTTTTAAAGAACAATTTGACTGCATGTGATGTTTGCCTTTAGACTGTAGAAACTAACCTTCATGCACCACCAGTGTACATATTTTCATCTATTGATCAGAAATTACAAGGGTAATCACAAAAGTAAGCAAAGGCTGAACCCATGGGGATCTGAAAATGGACATGAGCACTGTAGCCAGGGATTCTGATTCTTACAGTAATAAGAATTGAAGATGTCCCATGCATGGTAGAGAGTGGGCACTGAGCTCTTCAGGGGGATAGAAACAGACCTGCACAAGACTGGGAAGTAAGCTAATATCTCCCAGGGTTTAGAATTATATTAACAGCAACTGGGTTTGGAGCCATGAAATGCATAGGGCAGAGCCAGACCAGTAGGGAAAGCAGCCAATAGAGATGCACATAGGAGTATATCCCACAGAAGGTATGATTTCAGAGTCTCAAAGCACACAGAGATGTTTAAGACCATGAAGGCTGCATGATTCCCAACAAATGGAAGAACTCACACTGAAGATGACAAGATAAACATAGAATTTGATTGAAAGAGACCAAAATAGGTATGTTTAAAATGTCCAAAGACATAAAACAGTATCATCCATGAAACAAGAAAAGGATATTTTTTTTAAAGGTATATATGAAAAGAATCATTTGGAAATACGGGAAGTAAAATATGTGGTTATTGAAATAAACTAAATAGATGAACTAAATGGTAATAGATGAACTAAATGGTAGGGTTGGTAGAAAGAATTCTGGAACTGCAAGACAAAACTAGAGATCTCCCAGAATGCAAAGAGGTAAAGGTATTGGGAGAATAATTTACAGGTTGAAAATATGGGGATAAAACAAGACACTCCAATATACATTTGAGAAGAAAAGAGCAACATTAAAAGATAATAGCAGAGGATTTTCCAGAATTGATGACAGGAGCCCTTAGAATGAAAAAGCCTCCTGTGTGCTAAGAAGAGAAAATAAGATAAACGTACACCTAAATATATCCTGATGCAACTTAGAAAGTATTTAGTATCTAGGATAAAGAGTGCATCTCACACACTATAGAAGTATATCTAAAACATTTTTTTCCAAGCTACAGGTTTAGTGAGATGTAAAATCATTTAAGAGGTTGTAATAGTATGTTGTAAATAGTATAGAAAACATCCAGCCATTTCACACATAAGAGTAAGTTCATGCCAACTTTTGTTTCAGTTTATACACATATATTAATATGTGTGCCTTTCTAGATAAATATCAAGAAAATATCTTTCTTACTGTGAGACATAGTCAGAAATATTTGAAAGCTACTATTCTAGAGTTGCTTACAATGTGCATAAAAATATGCACCATTAACTGTTCATTGTAGAATTGTTATATTGAAAACTAGAAGCAATGTAACTTAATCGTAGACCTAAATGCCTCAGGAAAGTTAAAGAAATTAACTAGATTTGTATATAACATGGGTCTCACAAATATTATATTGAATTAAAAAATCAAGTTGTAGGATAATTTTAATAAATTTTTGAATCAGTGCAATATAAAGTAGGATAATTTTAATAAATTTTTGAATCAGTGTAGTATATTGTTTGTAGAGATTTTGTAGGATGTGAAAATATAAAGGATACTGCATCACACCTCTTGAGAGTTCTATCTGTAATATTTTTTTAAAGATCACTTGTACACTATATGTGTCTTCAATTATATAACTAGGGAAAGGAAGTACTAGACAAAATGATGACAGCTAATTCCATGTGGAAATACAAGTGTATATTACATCATTTGTATTTTTCTGTACTTTTTAAACTTTGCAAACAAAACCTTACCAAAACAACTGTAGATACCTACTTCTGTAAATAGAGTCCAAATTAATGAATTTGTTTTTTCTGTTGCAAACAATACTCACCACTCTATGACATATATGATATGTATATGCAGAAAAATACACAAGAGGATCTTAGGAGTAAAAGACCTAAAAGTCATTTGTTTATTTAACAAAGGAGACAGACCCAAAGATTGTAGTCACATACCTAGATTTTATCGCTAAGATACCCACCTTACTTACAATCAAGTTATACAAGTCCCTGTCATATTAGACAGTCATCTAAATAGAGGGGGAAATTTGTATGGTTACATGTGTTCTGTTTAGGGACACTATGAAAAACACATTGTAGTAGCCAGCTACCCAGTATCAATCTCTCTGATCTGTTTTTGTGTCATTAGAGGGAGAGAGAGTTTAAGACATTAGCAAAACTCAGTATGCCTTTTCAAGTTTGACAGAGTTTATCCATCGTAGGAGAATTTTCACAAACAAGCTTCTTCTAATTACGAGATGCAAGGAATTCATTTTGAAAAGTTAAAGAAAACTCATTAATTGTTTCTTTCATGAACAAATAGAGAAAAAGGGCAGTTTATGATTACTTAAAAAGGTTTAATAGCAGAAAAGACAAGTAGTGACTCTATAGCATCTTACTAAGCTGAGGGACAGTGACTGTAATGGGGTGTATGGTGGGGACTTGATAATGAGGAGAGTCTAGTAACCATAATGTTGCTCATGTGATTGTATATTAATGATACAGAAAAAAAACTTTTGGTAGATGTCTTTCAAAGAGGTCTGTTCTCTTTAGAGAAGAAGTCCAACTGTCCTTGAGTCAAATGACTGTTCTAAATACAGTTAACATCCTTTCCTATATCTTTTAGTTTTACCAAAATAGTCTCTTCACTTGTTGCTTTCTTACTGTAACTTCTCAATCCATTGCCTTTCTTTTAGAACAAAATGTGCATGTCTTCAACTGACAGCAAGGAATGCCAAGACTTGCTCCTTATCAAGTAATACAATAACCACTGGATATAAATATAAAAGACTACAGAGACAAATACCTACTGGGTAAGATACCTTGGGGATTTTTTGTGGGGGGCGTGTATCCTTGAAGGTAGATAACTTTGTCACTGTAGCCTGTAGATGTTGTTAAATCTTGATTTCTTATACCAAAGATCAAAATTACAAAATAAAAAAAACAAACCTGAATTCCGTTCCTGAAAATGGAAGCCAGAGAGCACACATGTATTGCGCCAGAGTATACTTAACTCTCATCTGCTTTGAGTCTGGCTTATAGCACCTTAGGGTTAGTCTGCTTTAGGTACCATTGCCCCATTAAGAAATATACCTGCAAAGCTCACAATTGGGAATTTTCAGCCTTTCAAGATTGTTATTAAAAAGAAAAAAGCAGAAGGAGAGGATTCAAGATGGCAGCATGAGAGGTGAGACAGAGAACTCCCCCCAAAACCACATAAAGTACAAAAATATAGTTAATAAAACTAATCCTAAAACAGCAACAGGAGAGAAGGCTGCAACAGACTACATACAGACCTCGCAAACAGAGCGGACCTCATGAAACAGGGTAACGTACTAAAGCCTTCATTCAGCGGGACCCAAGCCCTTTCCCCACCCAACCTCACCAGCGGGAGGAAGAGAAACAGAGTAGGGAGGGTGCTGAAAGCCTAGAACTGCTGAACAGCCAGCTCTGGAGTCCTGCTTTGGAACACAAACCTACATTGCGTGGTGTCCTGGAGGTTGGTGAAGTTGGGGAGCTGAAACAGGCAGAGTGCTAGAGAGACTGAGATTCCGGATGTTTGTGGAGGACGGGATCCAAGTCTGGCCGCACTGGGACAAAGGAAAGGCAAGCAGTCTGAGAGGCTTCTGACAGCTAGAGGGCTGCTGAAGGGACCGGGTTTGCACAGAGCTTGCTGTGTGGGAGAAGGGATAGGTGGACAAGGTTGTCCAGGTATGCTCTGCCCAGAAGGTTGGAAACTTTGAGGAGCTTGAGGTACTTCACCCCCTGGCTGGCTACTTAGTTCCAAGGCGCCTGACTGTGATACACAGCCTGTTGCGCCTCCCTCCAGGCCTACCAGCACCAGTTCGCAAACCGGCAGGCACTGCGCAGGCATCAGACAAGCCAAAGGGAGGCCCCAACTACAACAGCTAAAGATGCAAAGCACAAAGGCTTACATCTGTGTGCTCGGTCGACTGGCTGTAATATTGGAGACAGGCACTTCAGCCTGGAATCAAGAAACAGTTCTTTCCTCCCCCAAGGCATTTGGCACCACTCTCCTACGACCCTCAACCTCAGTCTAGGGACTGAGGAGCTCCAGAGACTAGAGCTTCTGGGCACTAGAGGGTGCCACATACAAATACGAAACATCAAAAGAACCTGGTTCAGACCAAAATCTCACAAACCACAGAAAAAGGGCAAAATGAAACTGAACTCAACCAATCTTCCTGAAAGAGAGTTCAAAATCAAAATTGTAAACATGCTCATGGAGGTACAGAAAAATATTCAAGAACTCAGGAACGAATTTAAGGCGGAGATTCAGTCATTAGGAAATTCCATATGTGAAATGACACATACAAAGGAGGGATTTTAAAACAGATTAGATGTAGTAGACAGGGGAGTAAATGGAATAGAAATTAGAGAAGAAGAATACAAGGAAGCTGAGGCACAGAGAGATAAAAAGATCTCTAAGAATGAAAGAATAATGAGAGAACTGTGTGACCAGTCCAAACAGACCAATATTCGCACAGTAGGGGTACTAGAAGAAGAGAGAGAAAAAGGGATAGAAAGTGGTCATTGAGGAGGTAATTGCTGAAAATTCTCCAATCTGGGTAAGGAGATAGTCTCTCAGGCCATGGAGGTGCACAGATTTCCCAACACAAGGGACCCAAGGAAGACAGCATCAAGACATATAATAATTAAAATGGCAAAGACTAAGGATAAAGACAGATTGTTAAAAGCAGGTAGAGAGAGAAAAAAGATCACATACAAAGGAAAACCCTTCAGGCTAACATCACATTTCTCAGAAACGTTACAGGGGAGAAGGGAGTGGAATGATATATTTAATGCAATAAAGCAGCAGAAGGGCCTCGAACCAAGAATACTCTACCTAGCAAGGTTATCATTTAAATTTGAAGGAGGGATTAAACAACTTTCAGATAAGCAAAAGCTGAGAGAATTTACCTCCCACAAACTACCTCTACAGTGCATTTTGGAGGGACTGCTGTAGATAGAAGTCTTCCTAAGGCTAAGTAGAATTCACCAGGGGAAATAAAACCACAGCAAAGTAGAACAATTAATTACTAAGCAGATGCAAACTTAAATCAACTACCCAAAAAGTAAATCAAGTGATAACAAAGAGTACAGAATGATACCTAACATATAAAAAATGGAGGAGGAAGAAAAGGGAGGAAAAAAAAAACCTTTAGGTTATGTTTGTAATAGCATGTGTGTGATGTGAGTTAAATTAGACTTAGATAGTAAGGGAATTACCCTTGAACCTTTGGTAACCACGAATCTAAAGCCTGCAGTGGCAATAAGTACATACCTTTCGATAATCACCTGAAATGTAAATGGTCTAAATGTACCAATCAAAAGGTATAGAGTCACTGAATGGACAAAAATAAAAAGACCCATCTATGTGCTGCCTACAAGAGACTCACTTCAAACCCAACAACATACACAGACTGAAAATAAAGGGATGGAAAAAGATACTTCATGCAACTAATAGGGAGAAAAAAGCAGGACTCGTACTACTTGTATCAGACAAAATAGACTTCAAAACAAAGAAAGTAACAAGAGACAAGGACATTACATGATTATAAAGGGATCAGTCCAACAACAGGATATAACTATTATAACTATGTACCCAACACACAATCACCTACATGTGTGAAACAAATAAGAACAGAATAAAAGGGGGAAATAGAATGAAATCCATTCAATTTTAGGGGACTTCAACGCACCACTCACTCCAAAGAACAGAACAACGAGACAAAAAATGTGCAAAGAGACAGAGGCACGAAAAAAATATTAGAACAGATGTACCTAATGGACATCTATAGAACACTCCATCCAAAGCAACAGGATACACATTCTTCTCAACTGCACATGGAACACTTTCAAGAATGGATCATATACTAGGCCACAAAAAGAGCCTGACTAAATCAAAAAGATTGAAATTGTATGAACCAGCTTCTCAGATCACAAAGATATGAAACTAGAAATAAATTAAAGAAAATGAAAACGCCCAAAATTCATGGAGGCTTAATAACATGCTCCTAAATAATCAATGAATCAATGACCAAATAAAAACAGAGATCAAGCAATATATGGAGACAAATGACAACAATAGTTCAACACTGCAAAATCTGTGGGACAGAGTGAAGATTGTGCTAAGAGAGAAGGATATTGCAATACAGGCCTACCTCAGTAAAGAGCAATCCTAAATGAACAGTCAAACCTTACAATTAACGAAACTAGAAAAGGAAGAACAAATAAGGCCCAAAGTCAGTAGAAGGAGGGACATAATAAAGATTAAAGCAGAAATAAATAAAACCAAGAAGAATAAAACAATAGAAAGAATCAATGAAAGCTGGAGCTGGTTTTTGAGAAAATAAACAAAATAGATAAACCACTGGCCAGGCTGATCAAGAAAAAAAGAGAGTCTACACACATAAACAGAATCAGAAATGAGAAAGGAAAAATCACGATAGACACCACAGAAATACAAAGAATAATTAGAGAATACTATGAAAAATTATATGCTAACAAACTGGATAGCCTAGAAGAAATGGACAACTTTCTAGAAAAATACAACCTTTCAAGGCTGACCAACGAAGAAACAAAATCTGAGCAGACCAATTACCAGCAAGGAAATTGAACTGGTAATCAGAAACCTATGTAAGAACAAAATGCCTAGACCAGATGGTTTCATTGCTGAATTTTATCAAACCTTTAGTGAAGACCTAATACCCATCCTCCTTCACATTTTCCAGAAAGTAGAAGAGGAGTGAATACTCCCAAACTCATTCTATGAGACCAATATCATTCTAATACCAAAACCAGGCAAAGACACCACAAAAAAACAAAATCACAGCAATATCCCTGATGAACAACATAGATGCAGAAAATCCTCAACACAATATTAGCAAACCAAATTCAAAAGTACATCAAAAAGTTCATCCATCATGATCAAGTGGGGTTCATCCCAGGGATCCAAGGATGGTACAACATCCGAAAATCCATCAACATCATCCACCACATCAACAAAAAGAAGCACAAAAACCACATGATCATCTCCATAGAAGCTGAAAAAGCATGCAACAAAATTTAACATGAATTCATGATTAAAACTCAACAAAACTGGTATAGACGGCAAGTACCTCAACATGTAATGGCCAGATATGACAAACCCACAGCCAATGTTATACTTAACAGTGCGAGGCTTCAAGCTTTTCCTTTAAGATTGGGAACAAGACAAGGATGCCCACTCTCCCCACTTTTATTCAACAGAGTTCTGGAGGTCCTAGACACAACAATCAGACAAATACAGAAATAAAAGGCATCCAGATAGGCAAGGAAAAAGTCAAAGTCTCTCTGTTTGCAGATGTTGCACATAAAAAACCCTAAAGAATCCACTCCAAAACTATTAGATCTCATATCTGAATTCAGCAAAGTTGCATGGTACAAAATTAATACACAGAAATCTTTTGCATTCCTATACACTAACGATGAACTAGCCAAAAGAGAATTCAGGAAAACGATTCCATTCACAAATGCATCAAAAAGAATAAAATACCAAGGAATAAACCTCACCAAGGAAGTGTAAGACCTCTACTCTGAAAACTACAAGACACTCATGAGAGAAATTAAAGAAGATACCAATAAATGGAAACACATCCCGTGCTCATGGATAGGAAGAATTAATATCATCAAAATGGCCATCCTGCCTAAAGCAGTCTATAGATTCAGTGCAATCCCTATCAAAATACTAACAGCATTCTTCTATGAATTAGAGCAAATTGTTCTAAAATTCATATGGAACCACAAAAAACCCCAAATAGCCAAAGCAGTCCTGAGAAGGAAGAATAAAGCAGGGGGAAGTACACTCCCTGACTTCAAACTCTACTACAAAGCCACAGTAATCAAGACAATTTGGTACTGACACAAGAACAGAACAACAGACCAATGGAACAGATAGACAGCCCAGATATAAACCCAACCATGTATGGTCAATTAATATACTATAAAGGAGCCATGGATATACAACAGGGAAATGACATCCTCTTCAACAGCTGTTGTTGGCAAAACTGGACAGCTACATGTAAGAGAATGAAACTGGATTATTGTCTAACCCCATACATGAAAGTATACTCAAAATGGATCAAAGACCTGAATGTAAGTCATGAAACCATAAAACTCTTAGAAAAAAACATATGCAAAAATCTCTTGGACATAAACATGTGCGACTTCTTCATGAACATATCTCGCCAGGCAAAGGAAACAAAAGCAAAAATGAACAAGTGGGACTATATGAAACTGAAAAGCTTCTGTACAGCAAAGAACACCATCAGTAGAACCAAAAGACATCCTACAGTATGGGAGAATATATTCATTAATGACGTATCTGATAAGGGGTTGACATCCAAATTATATAAGGAGTTCATGCATGTACCTCAACAAACAAAAAGAAAATAAGGAGCTGAACAAACACTTCTCCAAAGTAGAAATTCAGATGGCCAACAGACACATGAAAAGGTGCTTCACATCGCTAATCATCAGAGAAATGCAAATTAAAACCACAATGAGATATCACCTCACACCAGTTAGGATGGCCAACATCCAAAAGACAGACAACAACAAATGGCAAGGATGTGGAGAAAGGGGAACCCTCTTGCACTGTTGGTCGGAATGTAAATTAGTTCAATCATTGTGGAAAGCAATATGGAGGTTCCTCAAAAAACTCAATATAGAAATACCATTTGACCCAGGCATTCCACTCCTAGGAATTTACCCTAAGAATGCAGAAGCCCAGTTTGAAAAAGACGTATGCACCCCTATGTTTATCAGAGTACTATTCACAATAGCCAAGAAATGGAAGCAACCTATGTCAATCAGATAAAGAAGATACGATACATATATGCAATGCAATATTATTCAGCCATAAGGAGAAAACAAATCTCCTGCCATTTGCAACATTAATGGAGCCAGAGGGTATTCTGCTCAGTGAAATAAGTCAGGTGGAGAAAGACAAATATCAAATGATTTCACTCATCTGTGGAGTATAAGAGCAGAAAAAACTGAAGGAACGAAACAGCAACCGACTCATAGAACCCAAGAGTAGACTAACAGTTACCAAAGGGAAAGGGAGTGAGGAGGATGGGTGGGAAGGGAGGGATAAGGGGGAGATAGGGGCATTACTATTCACCCACATAATGTAGGGGGTAAGACAGTATAGCTCAGAGAAGACAAGTAGTGACTCTATAGCATCTTACTATGCTGATGGACAGTGACTGTAATGGGGTACATGGTGGGGACTTGATAATAGGGGGAGTCTAGTAACCATAATGTTGCTCATGTAATTAATTGTACATTAATAATACCAAATAAGAAATGTATTGAAAGCTGTCTGAAATTATGTAATGGTATATATAAAAAAAAATTCACAGAAACAAAATTTTTCTTCTTAGATTTTCCCTTCCCAGACATTTCCTTCTTAGAAATTCCTAGACATTTTTAAAAGCTAACTTTTGCTATGTACCAGGTAGGTCTCAGGCACCTTGTAAATACTGACTCATTTAGTCTCCATGAAACAACTTGTGAGGTAGGTACATATAATCTTTACTTTAGAAATGGAAAATTGAAGCACTTTAAGGTTAAATAACTCATCCAAGCTTGCACAGCTGGTGAATGCGGGGGCTATGATGGGAACTCAGGCATGCTGTCACCAGGAGGCTTCATGCTTAGTCTGCCTCCTTTGGTAATTATTAGTGAGATAGCAGTAGAAACTGCTTTTGCTTTTAGGATGTCGGATTGATTTTCTCTTGGCATATTTTACTGACAGCATTTATGAATGCGGCCTGTTATGCAAGTGTAATCGACAAATGTGTCAAAACCGACTTGTCCAGCATGGACCTCAAGTGAGGTTGCAGGTGTTCAAAACTGAGAAGAAGGGATGGGGAGTACGCTGCCTAGATGACATTGACAGAGGGACATTTGTTTGCATTTATTCAGGTAAAACAAAGGTTTATTTCTAAATTGCTCTATATTAAGTATTACATTTCTGAATCTCCATTTTACTAGCTAGGCTGTAGAGATCTTTCAGCAAGGCCAAGAGCAACACATACAGGAGGAGCATCAGAGGATGGCAAGTGCCTAGGCAATTGAGCTCTGAAGGGATGAGATGTCTTAGGAGGTACGAAATGTTCCAGAAAAGAAAAATGCAGAGATAAAACTTGGGCTTTTGGATGAGACACATTTTTTTGTCTCCATAACTACCAGTGTTTGCAGTAAGGTGAGAAAACTAAATAGGATAAGTAAATGACTTGCTATGGTAAAGATTATCAATCAGAGACTATCTTGTTCAGTGTTTTGAGCTATTAAAATCTAACAAGTTAAGTTTGTAATAAATACCTGCATGTGATGATTCAGGCAGTGATTCAAGGCAACTTAGTGCATTTTGGAGACTCAAGAGAGTTGCCCACTGAGCAAAACTTCCTGACCACTATGTTACAATTGTGCAATTACTGGTTCTTTGGGGCCACAGTTCTCAGGCCAGACATGTTGGTCTTCAGTAGTCTCAACCGCTTACCTCAGAGTGTCAGGCAAAAATCCGTACTTGGTGTGTATACTTTGAAATGAGAAAGGTTAGGAAATCATGAATCCAGTGCCAGTCTAAGGGAAGTGTGCTGGACTGAGCCTTGGCAGCAAGACAGCAGGGACCAGAGTAACCCTCCTCATCTGAAATTCCAGGTTTAGTTTAGTGAGGGCACTAATGGTCAGAATTCAGAATAGTCACCCTTGGATCCCTACCCACCTACCACTTGCAGACGCACATACTACTACAAAACTTGCCTCGTTATCTCTCTCAAAATAACACTGATGAAAGTCAGTTGCTATTAAATGCTAAATGGTGGCCAGGAAATATCATTGGCTTTTCCGTGTTTCTCGTGAGGTATCTCTCTGATCCAGCTGTTAACTGTGGCTTGATAGTCTAAGATTTTAATGTTAAACTAGGACTTAATATGAGAACAATAGGCACATATTAAACAGATCAGTTTACAAAAAGTATAGGTTTTAAATGATAAAGCATTTTTAACTTTAAACACAAAGCTGCAATTTAAAGACTAGAGTTCACCTCTCATTTTCTAGAATGTTTTCTGATCTGTTTTTGTTTTATATTATTGTAGCTAAATCTCTTTTATCTGAAACAAATTTTTTTTAAATCTAATCCCTCTTTGTTTTTTTATTGAAATATCATTGATATACAATCTTATATTGGCTTCAAATGTATAGCAGTGTTTCAACAGTTACCCATATGATTAAATCTTCATCCCTTCTAGTGCAGTTACCATCTAGCAACATAGAAAGATGTTACAGAATCATTGACTATATTCTCCATGATGTACTACCATCCCCCATGACAAGCTTATATTGTGATGGTTAATAATTGTGCCCCTTTATCCCCCTCACACTCCCCACTCACCCACTCCAACCCCTCCTCCTTGGTAGCCACTAGTCACTTTTCAGTGTCTATGAATCTACTGCTATTTTGTTCATTGTTTTGCTTTGTTTTTATATTCCACAAATAAGTGAAATCGTACAGTATTTGTCTTTTTCCACCTGATTACTTCACTAAGCATAATACCCTGTAGATACATCCATGTTGTTGCAAATAGCAGGATTTCTTTTCTTTTTATGGGTGAATAATATTCCATTGTGTATATGTACCTCCTCTTCTTCATCCATTCATCTGCTGATGGGCACTTTGGTTGCTTCCATACCTTGGTTGTTGTAAATAATGTGCCAAAAACCATAGGGGTATTCAAATCGAGGATTTTGTTTTCTTCTGGTAAATTCCTAGAAGTGGAATTACAGGATCAAATAGTATTTCTGTTTTTAGGTTTTTGATGAACCTCCATACTGCTTTCCACAGCAGTTGCAGCAATTTACATTCTCACCAACAGTGTAGAAGGGTTCACATTCTGCATATCCTTGGCAACATTGGTTATTTCTTGTCTTTTGGATAATGGCCATTCTAACTGGTGTGAGGTGATATCTCATTGCGGTTTTCTGATTTGCATTTCCCTGACTATTAGTGATGTGGAGCATCTTTTCATGTGCCTGTATTTCAGTGGCAGTACATTAGCCATTTGTATTTCTTTGGAGAAGTTTCTGTTCGGGCCCTCCACCCATTTTTGAATTGGGTTATTTGTTTTTTGGGTGTTGAGAAGTATAAATTCTTTATACATTTTGGATGTTAACCCCTTATCAGATGAGTCATTTACAAGTATATTCTCCATACTGTAGGATGCCTTTTTGTTCTGCTTATGGTGTCCTTTGCTGTACAGAAGCAATTTTTAGTTTGATGTAGTCCCACTTGTTCATTTTTTATTTGTTTCCCTTGTCTGAGATGTGTCCAAGTAAAAACTTGCTCATAAATATGTTCAAGAGATTTTTGCATGTTTTCTTCTGAGAGTTTTATGGTTTCATGACTTACATTCAGATCTCTGATACTTTTAAGTTTACTTTTGCATATGAACTTAGACAGTAATCCAGTTTCTCTTCCATGTAGCTCTCCAGATTTCCCAACACCCAATTGTTGAAGAGGCTGTCTTTTCCCTATTGTATATTCATGGCTCCTTTATCATAATATTAATTGACCATATATGCATGGTTTCATGTATAGGCCCTCTCTTCTGTTCCATTGGTATAGGTCTGTTCTTGTACTTGTACCAAATTGTTTTCATTACTGTAGCTTTGTAGTAGACCTTGAAGTCAGGGAGCCTAATAACTCCAATTTTCCTCTTCTTTCACAGCATTGCTTGACTATTCAGGGTCTTTTTTGATTCCACATGAATTTTAGTACTATCTTTTCTAGTTCATTAATGAGTGAACCACATGATCATCTCAATAGATGCTGAAAAAGCATTTGACACAATTCAAAAGCCATTCATAATAAAAACCCTCATCAGAATGGGTAAAGAGGGTACATACCTCAACATAATAAAGGACATATATGACATTTCTCCAGAGAAGAAATATGAAAAGATGCTCCACATTGCTAATAATCAGGGAAATGCAATCTTACTGAAGTATCATTGAAATACAATCATATTGGTTTCAAATGTACAACATGGATATATCTGGAGGGTATTATGCTCAGTGAAGTAATCAGGTGGAGAAAGACAAATACCATATGATTTCACTTATTTGTGGAAAACAAAGCAAAACAGAATGAACAAAATAGCAGTAGATTCATAGACACTGAAAAGTGACTAGTGGCTACCAAGGGGGAGGGGATGGGGTGGGTGGCTGGGTGTGTGAGGCACAATTACTCACCATCACAATACAAGTTGCTTATGGGGGACGGTAGTACATCATGGAGAATATAGTCAAGATTCTGTAACATCTTTCTGTGTTGCTAGATAATAACTGCACTAGAAGGGTTGAAGATTTAATAATATGGGTAACTGTTGAACCACTGTTGTACATTATTATGTTGAGGTACTTTCCCTCTATACCTATTTTGTTGAGAGTTTTTATCATGAATGGCTGTTATATATTATCAAATGCTTTTTCAGCCTATATTGATATGATCATGTACCTTTTTATCCCTTTTGTTAATGTGTATGATATGGATTGATTTAGAAATGTTGTACCATCCTTGCATCCCTCGAATAAATGCCACTTGATGGTGATAGATGATCCTTTTGATTTATTTTTTAATTTTGTTGGCTACTATTTTATTGAGAATTTTTGCATCTATGTTCATCAGTGATATTGGTCTATAATTTTCTTTTTTTGTGGTGTCTTTGCCTGGCTTTGGTATTAGAGTGATTCTGGCCTTATAGAATGAATTTGGAAGTATTCCATCCTCTTTTTCTCTTAGGAATACTTTTAAGAAGGATGGGTATGAGCTCTTATTTAAATGTTTGGTCGAATTCAGTTGTGGAGCCATCTCGTTCTGATATTTTGCTTTTTGGGAGGTTTTTGATTACCACTTCAATTTCACTGCTGGTAATTGGTCTGTTCAGATTTTCTGTTTCTTCCTGGGTCAATTTTGGAAGGTTGTGTCTCTCTAGGAAGTTGTCCATTTCTTCTAGGTTGTCCAATTTATTGGCATATAATTTCATAGTATTCTCTAATAATTCTTTGTATTCCTCTGATATCCATTGTGACTTTTCCTGCTTTTTTCTGATTTTTGTTTATGTGTGTATTCTTAGTTTCTGGGTAAGTCTGGCTAGGAATTTATCTATTTTGTTTGTTTTCTCAAAGAACAAACTCCTGATTTCATTAATCTTTTGTTTTACTCTTCTCTATTTCTGCTCTGATCTTTATTATGTCCCTTCTTCTACTAACTTTGGATTTCATTTATTCTTTTCTAGTTTCTTTAATTGTGAGTTTAGACAGTTTATTTGGAATTGTTCTTATTTCTTGAGGTAGGCCTGTATTGCTGTGTACCTCCCTCTTAGAACCACCTTTGTAGTGTCCCACAGATTTTGGGCTGTTGAGCTTTTGTTTTCGTTTGTCTCCATGTATTGCTTGATCTCTTAATTTTTTCATTGGTCTACTGATTAGTTAGAAGCATTATTTAGAAGTTATTTAGCCTTCATGTATTTGTAGGCTTTTTTGTTTTCTTTGTGTGATTTATTTCTTGTTTCTTACCAACTGTGGTGTGAGAAGCTTCTTGATAAAATTTCAATCTTTTCAAGTTTATTAAGGCTCTTTTTGTAGCCTATTATGTGCTCTTCTAGAGAATTTTCCATGTACACTTGAGAAAAATGTCTATCCTATCCTGGGTGGAATGTTCTGTAGATATCTGTTAAGTCCATTTGATCTAATGCATTGTTCAATGCCTCTCTTCCTTATTTATTTTTTATCTGGTTGATCTGTCTATTGATGTGAGTGGTATGTTAAAATCTAAAACAAATGTGTTGCAATTTATTTCCCCTTTTATTCTGTTAGTATTTGTTTTACATATTCAGGTGCTCCTATGTTGAGTACATAGGTAT